TTAGTCGAGTAGCAGTAAGCAGTCGCAGTAGTAGTAGTAGTAGTAGTAAAGTAGTAAGTATAGTAATTAAGTAAGTAGTAGTAAGTAGTTAGTAGATAGTATTAGTATTTAGTAGTATAAGATCTTAGTAGTTTGTAAGTGCTGGTGCTGGTGCTGTGCTGGTGCTGGTGCTGGTGCTGGTGCTGGTGCTGGTGCTGGTGCTGGTGCTGGTGCTGGTGCTGGTGCTGGTGCTGGTGCTGGTGCTGGTGCTGGTGCTGGTGCTGGTGCTGGTGCTGGTGCTGGTGCTGGTGCTGGTGCTGGTGCTGTTGCTGGTGCTGGTGCTGGTGCTGGTGCTGGTGCTGGTGCTGGTGCTGGTGCTGGTGCTGGTGCTGGTGCTGGTGCTGGTGCGGGTGCGGGTGCCGGTGCTGGTGCTGGTGCTGGTGCTGGTGCTGGTAGTAGTAGTAGTAGTAGTAGTAGTAGTAGTAGTAGTAGTAGTAGTAGTAGTAGTAGTAGTAGTAGTCGTAGTAGTAGTAGTAGTAGTAGTGAGTCTTAGTAGTAGTTCAGTCGTAGTCGTAGTCGTAGTCGTAGTCTTAGTCCGTCGTCGTAGTCGTAGTCGTAGTCGTAGTCGTAGTCGTAGGTCGTAAGTCGTTAGGCGTAGTCGTAGTCGTTCGTAGTCGTAGTACGTAGTACGTAGTCTAGTTGCGAGTCCGTAGTGATAGTAGTCGTGGTCCGTAGTAGTATCCATAGTAGTAGGAACACCCATACTTGTAAGTATTATAGTAGTAGCAACTAATGCCTCTTGGAGGCCGCTGACGCTCTTGGGTTTTGTTGTTTCCCCACTCCCCCCCCCCCAACCCCCTGGGGAGGCCTCTGGGAGGCCTCTTGGGTCGTCTGGGAGGCCCTGGGAGGCCGTGGGAGGCTTGCCGTTCCTGTTCCCGTTCGCGTTTCTTGGGTCGGCTAGAAGGCTTAGGGGGGGTAGACGGGCACGCGACCGGGCGGGAACGGAACGGGAACGGGAACGGAACGGGAACGGGAACGAGAACGGGAATGGGAACGGGAACGGGAACGGACCTATAGGGCGTTTTCGCCCTTTTACGGAGGGCCCCCCCTGCCGCGGCGGGCCCGATGGAAGGCGGGAAGAGTTTCGAGACCTCGCCCATGCTTCCCTCTGCGCGGCGCGTCTCGGCGCGCGCGGCGTGGGTGGGTGGGTGGGCGGGGAGCGGGGGGGGGCGATGCCTGTGCGACGGGGCAGGGAGGGCGAGGTTTGGCTGGCGGGCTTCGACGCTAGCTAGCAGCGCCCGGTGGGGAGGCCCAGGGACCGAGCCCCCCGCGCCTCTGGTCCTCCGCCCCTTCCTCCTGGGCGACCCACTCCCATCGCTGAGGGGGGGGGGCGCCAAGTTCCTGGGAATGGCGCGCCCCCTGCGCTACAGGGCCCCCGTCTCCGCCACCTGGAGAAGGAGCATCAACGTCTCCCCTTTTTTTGTACCGCAATCGCATCGTTTGTAGAGCCCTTCGAGGATACGCCCCCGGTCGCCTATACGAACGTTCATCCTCTCATTCTTCCCGATGCGCGTGGCCATTTGGGCTCAGACGTTCGGCCGGTTTTGAACAACCCACCCACCGCTTTGTGGCCATCAAGTTCCTGGGAGTGTTTCGGGCCCTGCGCTACAGGGCCCCCGTTTTCGCCACCCGTAAAACGGACAACGAAGTTAGCATTTTTACCCAACAGCGAAGACTGATAGGTTTCTAATGGAGTCAAAAGAGAGCATCTGATGACTCCCCAGGGGGGTCTGGGCGGGAGCCGGACAGGCGAGGGCCAGGCTTGTTTTAAGCAAACAGTCGCACACTTCGTGCTCTTCGACCTCCCAGAACTCCTTTCCCGGGCAACATTTTGAATGCCCGGAGCCAACTGTAAGCCACTTCGTGCTCTTCGACTTCCCAGAACTCCATTCCCGGGCCACATTTTGGATGCCCGGAGCCAACTGTAGGCCATTTCGTGCTCATGGACTTCCCAGAACTCCATTCCCGGGCCACATTTTGGACGCCCGGAGCCAACTGTAGGCCACTTCGTGCTCATGGACTTCCCAGAACACAATTCCCGGGCCACATTTTGAATGCCCGGAGCCAACTGTAGGCCACTTCGTGGTCTTCGAGTTCCCAGAACTCCATTCCCGGGCCACATTTTGAATGCCCGGAGCCAACTGTAGGCCACTTCGTGCTCTTCGAGTTCCCAAAACTCCCATTCCTGGGCATGATTTTGAATGCCCGGAGCCACCTGTAGGCCACTTCGTGGTCTTCGAGTTTCCAGAATTCCATTCCTGGGCATGATTTTGAATGTCCAGAGCCAAGTGTAGGCCACTTCGTGGTCTTCGAGTTCCCAGAACGCCATTCCTGGGCCACATTTTGAATGCTGAGGCAGGCTGATGCTGCGGCCGAGGCAGGCTGAGGCTGAGGCAGGCTCCCCCCCCCCCCCCCCCCCCCGCACCCGCGCCCCCCCCCCCTCCACCCCCCTCGGCTTGAAGGCAGATGAGGAGAGGCTGAAGCAGACTGAGGCTGATGGCTGCCCGAGGCACCACGGTGAGGCTGAGGCTGAGCGGCTGATTGCTGAGGCAGGCTGAGGCTGAGGCTTGAGGCTGATGCAGCCGATGCAGGCTGAGGCAGGCTGATGCTGAGGCAGGCTGAGGCTGAGGCTGAGGCTGAAGGCTGAGGCTGAGGCTGAGGCTGAAGGCTGAGGCTGAGGCTGAAGCAGGCTGAGGCTGAGGCAGGCTGAGGCTGAGGCAGGCTGAGGCTGAGGCTGAGGCAGGCTGAGGCTGAGGCTGTGACTGCGACTGCCGTTGCCACTGCGACTGTCATCGCGAATGCGACTACGACTGCGAGAACAGCAGAATTCTACAAGTGGATTCTCGTCTGAATCTTAAGGGGAATGCTTCCAGATATGCTCCTACACATCGCTGTTAGGTTGCTTTGCCGGGATAATTTGCTACATTTGCACCGTTTGCAAGGCCGTTCGAGGATACTGGTCTGTACATAAGCATAAACATATTCACATCTATACATAAACATATATACCTCTATATATGTGTATATATATGGGGCGCTCCAGAAGAAAAGGATTCAGTGTCGAAGGTTGAAGGAGTTACCACCTCTTCCGCGGCGGAAGGCGGTGGAAAGGGCGGCGGAAGTCAAACGAGGCCGCCTCCGCCGGCGAAAGCCGACGAAATGGCGGTCGACCACACACACTTACATACATTTGTATGTATACATTTCGTTGTGCCTGTCTCTCTATTTCTCTCTCTCTCTCTCTCTCGCTCTCTCTCTCGCTCTCTCTCTCTCTCTCTCTCTTTCTCTCTCTCTCTCTCTCTCTCTCTCTCTCTCTATATATATATGAAAAAACTTGTATATATACACATATACGTGTATATATATATATATATAGATGTTGTCTCTGTCTCTCTCTCTCTCTCTCTCTATCGCTCTCTCTTTTTCTCTCTTGCTCTCTCAATATCTCTCTCTCTCTCTCTCTTTGTCTCTCTCACTCTCTCTCTCTCTCTCTCTTATACAGATCACCCCCTCTATCGTTCTCCACATGTTCGTTGTATAGGCGCGCGTGTGTATAGACAACATGTAAAACTAGGAAACAATGTGTAGGCATTTAGATAATATCACAAAGACAGGTTCACTTATGTATAAATCGAACGGTGCAAATGTACATATACACGGATATCTGGTTTCCTCACCTCCACATGCCAATTACTTGGTACACCGACTTCTCGTCAATCCTCTACTCATGTGTCGGCTTGCGGCCGCCTCTCCGGCATATTTCTGGATTAACGGACATGTGCATTCCCTGTGTGTTGTTTACGTCTGAATGGCTTCGGGCATTCGAGGGCGGTGATGCCGCCGCAGCCGTAACCACACGTCTGGATCCGATTTTCTTCCTCGCTACCCTCCCCGCCCTTGCTCCCCATCTGCCTTCCCCTCGCCCTCCCACTCCTGATCATGCTCCTCCTCCCTCCACCTCCTGTTCATCCGCCTCCTCGTCCTCCTCCTCCACCTCCTCATCCTCCTCCTCCTCCGCCTCTTCCTCCTCTTCCTCCAATGTACAACAACGCCCCCCTTTGCCGATTGCGCAGTCAGCCATGGACCAGATCTTGCAACTGCCATCGGGAGTTCAAGGTCCTGTAGGCCACCCCAGGCGGCGCATAGTGGCGGTAGCGCACCCAAATTTCCGCTACATAATTAACCGATGTGATTACGACGACCCTATCTCCCCCTGATCTGTCCCGTTATGGCCCCTCCTCTGTGGCGTGGCGCAGTGTTTCATGTAGTCTCGTGCGCGTTAGTTCCCAATCGGGACGTTGTTGCTGGTTTGCAAGACTCCTCTGCAGCGTTGTCCTCATGTCCTGATCGGCGCTTTGTTCTCCCGTTGTTGAAATCGGCGGTCTCGCCCTAGCGCGAGACAGCATTTGTGGATCCGAGTCCTCCCATCGTCGTCGTCGTCGCCGTCAGGACTCTCTCCTTAGTTGCCGGCCCCTGGCTCTGTCTCCTTACCGCTACTCCGACTCCTACTGCTCCTCCTCCGTCCTCCGCCGCCTTCTCCTCCTCCTTCCTCCTCCTCGCCGCCTCCTCCTCTCGTCCTCCTCCTCCTCCTCCGCCATCCTCCTCCTCCTCCTCCTCCTCCTCCTCCTCCTCCTCCTCCTCCTCCTCCTCCTCCTCCTCCTCCGTCATCCTCCTCCTCCTCATCCGCCATTACCTCCTCCTCCTCTTCCTCCTCCTCCTCCTCCTCCTCCTCCTCCTCCAGTCTACACAGCTCCCCTTTGTGATTGCGCTTCACGCAATCAGATTACGTTGGGGATCCAGGTCTTCTTGGACACCCGTCGGCGGATGGAGGCGAATCAGCGTAATGGGAAGGGATGGGTGGGAGGGGTCGGATGTCCGAGGTGGCGCGAGCCCTAACTAGCTTGCCCTCTCTCATCTCTCCTCCAGCTCCTCCTCCCACTCCTCCACGTTTCGCGGAAGAGGCTCCAGGGACCTCCTTGCTGGCTTGGGCACAACCCGGACGTGACCGAACGGGACCTGGAGGAGGTGCCGCGGCCGCCCCGATCGGCAAGAGCCCCCCGACTGGCCGCTGTCCACCCGATCGATCCGATTCGGTATCGGTTCTGGCCGTTTACATACGGTTCGGTTCCGATATGCCGACGAATCCGATTGCGACCAGCTGTGCCGCCCTGCGCTGCTGTGCACCTTGGCGCAGCCGATCTGATTCGAGTCCGGCTCTGTGCCGACGCGGCGCGGCCCGGGGGACGACCGCCGAGGCACACTGCGTGCCGATCCGATGTCTCGATTCGTCGACGCCGGCCGATCTTGCGCCCTCCCTCGCTCCTGAGAGGGAGGGGGTGACTTAAGGCGGCTGCACGGTTTCCCCCGGGTCTGTAGGCGATCCGAGGAGGAGGAGGAGGAGGAGGAGGAGGAGGAAGAGGAGGAGGAGATAAAGGAGGAGGAGGAGGAGATGGATGTGGAGGAGGAGGGGGAGGAGGAGGAGGAGGAGGAGGAGGATGAGAGGAGAGGGAGAAGGCGGAAGGATGCGAAGGAGGAGGAGGCGGAGAAGGAGTGCTTGGGAGGAGGAGAGGAGGAGAGGAGGACCGAGGAGGAGGAGAAGGCGGAGAATGGAGGAGGCGAGGGAGGAGGCGGCGGAGGCGGAGGAGGAGGAGGAGGAGGAGGAAGAGGAGGAGAACGGGTCGCGTAAGCCCTTCGGAGAAGCCCTCCAGAGGCGGCCGCCTGCCGGCCCGTGACGGATCCGGGGTTACGGGTACGGGCCCCGAAGAGACGGCGGGGCCGCCCGCGTCGCGGAGGGGGGCCGCCGCTCTGGCCTCTCGTGTCGAGGGGGCGGCGCGAGGGCGCGGAAATCAGCGCGCACGGCGGGGCGCTGGAGGGTTTCTCCGAAGGGCTCAGGCCACCCGTCCTCCGCCTCCTCCTCCTCCGCCTCCTCTACCTCCTCCTCCTCATCCTCCTCCACCTCCTCCTCCTCCTCCTTCCTCCTCCTCCTCCTCTCCTCCTCCTCCTCCTCCTCCTCCATCTCGCCTCCTCATCCTCCAACTCCTCCACACTCCGCCTCCATCTCTCTCCTCCTCCTCCTCCTCCTCCTCCTCCTCCTCCTCCTCCACCTACTCCTCCTCCTCCTCCTCCTCCTCCTCCTCCTCCTCCTCCTCCGCCGCCTCCTCCTCATCCTCCAACTCCTCCTCCTCAAGCAGTGGCGAAGCGTCCTGGCGTGCCTGTAGGCCTACCACACAATGTTCTAAGAACCTATTGTGGTTTCCACGAACTGTTCTTAGAACATGTATGGCTGGGACTGTCTTGTTGTAACACATCGGTCTATGTTATAAGACTATTGCTTGTATGTCTTTTACACCATTTCGGGGTTCTAAGGAAATTTCGTGGTAGGCCTATAGGAATGCCGGGACGATCGGTCCCTGCTCAACCTCCTCCTACTCCTCCTCCTGCTCCTCCTCCTCTCCCCTCCTCCCTCCCTCTTCCCTCCCCCCTCCTCCTCCTCCACCTCCTCTTGGATATGTCGTCTCGTCCTCTCCTCCTCCTCATCCTCCTCCTCCTCCTCCTCCCTCCTCTTCCTCCTCCTCCTCCTCCTCCTCCTCCTCCTCCTCCTCCTCCTCCTCCTCCTCCTCCTCGGGTCGCCTACGGCCCCCGGGGAAACCGTGCACTGGCCTCTTGTCGAGGGGGCGGCGCGAGGGCGCGAAGATCAGCGCGCATGGCGGAACGCGATGCGCGAAGCTCCAGGACCAGGGCTCAGGGTTAAGTCGGGTATGTCCCTCTACAGGGGGAATATTCAAGGATAGTCAAACAATAGTCTCGGGACCTTTCTTCCACGATGGTTGACTATGCTTGATTATGGTTCGACTATTTGTTATTTTCCGTCCACAACCGCCTGTAGGAGGACGCGCCGGACCCAAGTTTAGGACTCGATCCGACTCGAGATATCCCGCAGAAGAAGGGGGTCGAGAGACTCTGCGTGAGACCCTTGGCATCGCTCGGACGTGAGCGATTGTCCTTCTGCGAGGGCCATCGAGGAGCATCTTGGATCTTCTTGGGGGGGAAATGGACGGGGCATGGACGGGGCATGGACGTCCGAGCGATGGCGAGGACATGACGCCCTGGGCTCCAGCAGGGATCCCGCGAGGCCGCCTCCTTGGAGGGAGATCGTCCGATCCAGGCGCCCTGGCCGTCCCTGACCATTCCCTGGCCGCTCCCTCACCACCGCTCGGAGATGGTGCCCCTCCCCCTCCCAGCCTCCCTCCCCCCTCCCAACAGTCGGAGAAAGACACACACATAAGCATAAACAGAAGCTTTTGGCGCTCCGCGCGGAATTCTTGGATCCGCGCCTGGGCCCCCCGGCGGCGCCTTCGGCGCCGCCCCTGGTGCGCTCCGCGCGCCAGGGAGGGGGGGTCCGGCGCAGATCCAAGAAGTCCGCGCGGAGCGCCAAAAGTTTGTGTTTTTAGCGCTTTGTCTTCATCGAAGCAGCCCTGTCGCCATCCGGTCGGGCGTCTTGCACACTATTGATTCAGAGACCTCCTCCCGAACAGCTGGGCCAGCGTTCCGTGACCAGCCTGCCAGAATATGTTTTTCCGTTTTTCACAAGTGGTGGAGGGTTCGATCCAGTTTTGTGTTTGGATGATGGTATTATGCGTTTTACCATTTGAGTATTCGGTATATGGTGAAGATAGGGTACTATTCTTTTTTTGTTTTTTTCTCTCTCTCTCTCTCTCTCTCTCTCTCTCTCTCTCTCTCTCTCTCTCTCTCTCTCTCTCTCTCTCTCTCTCTCTCTTTCTCTTTCTTTAACACGCATTGCGTATTTCTCTTCTCTCTCTCTCTCTCTCTCTCTCTCTCTCTCTCTCTCTCTCTCTCTCTCTCTATCTCTCTCTCTCTCTCTCTCTCTCTCTCTCTCTCTCTTTAACACGCATTGCGTACTTCTCTTCTTCCTTGAAGCGGGCCCCGCTCCTTGGGCGCTCTGGCCCCTCCAGCGGTCGCGGGCCTTCGCCCGGGCTCGTGCCACGAGGCTTCCGGGAAGCCGGCCCGGAGCTCTCACAGGAACACATTTTTTTTGTTTTCTCTCTCTCTCTCTCTCTCTATATATATATATACATCTATATATATAGATCATAGTTTCGGCTGCAAGGGAAAGGGGGGAGGCGCCAGGACGGCAGGGGGTCCGACCCAGGGCAGCGGGCCCTCCGGTCCTGCGCCGTGGGTGGCCTCTCCCCTGCGGCCCGCCACGGGCCGCCGGGGCTCGGGGAGGAGAAGGGGGAGGAGCAGGAGCAGGAGCAGGAGCAGGAGCAGGAGCAGGAGGAGGAGCAGGAGCAGGAGCAGGAGCAGGAGCAGGAGCAGGAGCAGGAGCAGGAGCAGGAGCAGGAGCAGGAGCAGGAGCAGGAGGAGGAGGAGTACAGGGCCCGCTGCCCTCAGAACCCGCTTCCCTCCACACCATCAGAGGAGGGAAGGGTACCCATACCTCTACCCATCCCCTCGTGTTCCCCTTTCTTGGGGCCTCCTGGGCCTCGTCGCCTCGAAGTCCTGGTCAGCACGCACCCCGGGAGAGGTCCCGGGGGGCAGCAGCCACGCCAGCCCTGCTATTCGGGTGCCTTGCTGGGGTATAGTGTAGTGGCCTCCGGCCAGTGCCGCCGATCGAGGGCACTCCGGGGGATGATGATGAGGATGAGGATGAGGATGAGGATGAGGATGAGGATGAGGATGAGGATGAGGATGAGGGTGAGGGTGAGGATGATGATGATGATGATGATGATGATGAGGATGAGGATGAGGATGATGATGATGATGAGGATGAGGATGAGGATGAGGACGAGGGT